AAAAAACTAGAATGTTCCATCTAGTGACCTGTATTTTAAGGGGCATGAAGAAGCTGTTTTAGCTTTTCTTTCACACATGTAGAGATAAGTGGTGATGTATTGTGAAAAGTTGAATGGAAATTCAGCATGAAGACCACTGTATTGCAGCGAGTTTTGCTGAGCATACTTTGGAAAACCCTGCCATAAGCTTTTAGTCCTCTTGGATCAAGGTACTGACTTCCCACTCTTCTAAGGCACACTCCCAGGGGCACTCTTTGTCCCTTACTCTTCTCATGTAGTGGAACAATAGAGTCTGTCACTTAGACTGTGTAACCAATGCCTTAGTACTCCCAACCCCCGTCTCCCCAATAACTTCAACACATTCTAGCTAGGTTCCACCTGTCTATCAGAGTTCTAGTTTCCTAATTACAACTTTCAGGAAAGATGTGGTAACACAGGCTTAGCCAAAGAATTTTTTTTAATATACCACCACTTTTCTCTTGAGAAGCACAAGAGTTACAGATACATGGATAAAGTACAAATGCCTCTCAGTCTGAACTCAACCCCTTTTGTAAGTCTCCGGTTTTGGTCTAAGCACTTAAGCGTGGCAAAGTTTCTTCTACTCCAACTCCTTCTTTTAGGTTGTGTGTTTTTGGTGATGAAATGACTCTCTTAACCTTAAACATTTCTCTTTACAGAACAACTTCTAATACGTATCCTTTTCCTGCTCTTCAGCTAGGCATTTTCTATGCTCCAACCACTCCACTGGCTTCTGGACAGAGTCATTCAAAAGTCAATGGCTCCACCTGTAGCAACTCACTGTACCACAAGAGGAGAGCTGTTCAATGTTGACAGCTCTACTGCTAATCCCCAGCTAGTCTTTGTACTGGGTGCCAAGTTTCTGGTTCAAAATGAATGCTCAAAGCCACAGTAAAGGTTACACTCAAAATGGAGGTTGAAATATAGCAGGTGTTCAGAAACAAAAATAGAGTACATAAATTAATACAGACATGTCCCACATACTTAATTATTTCTCACAAACTATGTGTATCCTCTCTAGATTATTTGCTATGTGTTTCAGACAGGCCCTACTACCAATTTTAAAATACAGAAGAGACTATAATTCATGGGCCAAATTTGCAACGCCATTCAATGGAGTTAGACTAGGAATTCATTTGCCTCAATGTTTTAGAGCCTCAATTTTTCTTAGAGTGCGTCTACTCTGTAGGGCTTAACTCGAAATAAGCTATGCAAATTGAGCTGTGTCAATTGCATAGCTTATTTTGAAATTGGGAGTGCCTACACAGCACTTATTTCAAAATAAAGCACTCTTCCTCTGACTTCCCTTAGTTCTCATACAACGAAGGTTACAGAAGTCGAAGTAAGAAGTCCTCCAGCTTGACAGTATTTTGACACTATTTTGAAATAACTGCCTGCTGTGTAGATGCAGACCAAGTTATTTCAGAATAGCGCTAGTTATTTCAAAATAGCGTTGCAGTGTAGACATGCCCATATATTAGTTGTGTTAGTAACAGCATCTTAGATTAAAACTGACAATTTATTTCACACTTTTTATACCATTTATTCTATTATTTGCATTTCACTCAGCTTTACCATGACATTAGACTGGCTCACGTATACTAAAAGATGGTTTCACAAGTTTTTGAAAGTCAAGTTCAACTCTCAGAGGTTTAGTTTGGACATTAGGAAAAACGTCCTAACTCTCAGGGTGGTTAAACACTGGAATAAATTGACTAGAGAAGTTGTGCAATCTCCATCACAAGAGATTTTTAAGAGCAGATTAAACAAACACCTGACAGCAGGCTCCCTGAGGGGTAGGGAGTGGGGAGGGAGAGAAGAAAAGGGCAAAGGAAGCAACTCCTGCCATTCAAAGGGGCCTGGGGCTCCTGGGTGCCTCCACTGCTACTACTACTGGATGATGCTGGGGTGTATGTGTGGGCTGGTTGCCTCACCCCTTCTGGAGCACAGAGAAAGGCTGTCCCCATCTAGCCCAAGGGTCTAGCAAGGCTGTTGGCTCTCTGGCCATTATAGAGAAATCATCTGTGTAATACCTCACTCAGCCTAGCTAAGATCAGAGATTCCGATCTCGGTCTCACGGCTCTAATAGCTGGTGCCAAGAACTGTTTCAGTACCCAAGAAGCTTGCGTCCATACTAATGAGAACATAAATGCTGTATGAGTCACTGGCATCATGGGGGTTTAGTGCCGACTGTAACCTTTGATTTAAATATTTTCAGTTAGCATTTTCATTATGAATAATACTGCCAACAAACAAATTAAATTCCTGAGATTTGAGCCGTAGGGTGGTTACAGATAAATTTAATTTAGTGGAGAAATATAATTATATCACTCCTTGTGACTTTCAAAGACTTCATTTAAAATAAAATAGTTAAACCAAAAAGGCATTATGGTATAAGCATAACCTGTATATTTAAACACTCATTTTCTAAGATGAAATGGTGCAGCCAGCAGTGATCGAGCCCTGAAAGACAAAAATGGATATATAATCCTCCGCAACCCCCTCTCTCTGATATCTTGATGGTGGATGAGTGTGCTAATCTAAAATTAGCATGCTCCCCTTTTACAATTACTTATAACACCCCTTAAATAAGCAAGCCTGACTATTAGAATATCCATACTTCTGCTACCATAACTAGAAAGCCTTCTCCTCCCTCACTGGTTATATTAAACACCTGAATTGCATAAATGCCATTTCAATAACTATCACTATAGAAAGCATTCATCCACAACAAATATTTCCTCTAGAGCTTCTGTTAAAACCAGTTAGTGTCAAACACATTTACAGTGACCTGGGATTATATCCCAATATCTCTCTAACTTGCCTCAGAACGGTCTTACTTTATTTCACCCACAATTCAACAGGTTTCATTACTCTCTAAATTGAGGCCCCAAAACCTATTCTCTACTTACATTTTAGTACATTTTTATTTAACATGAAAAGCCATCACTTTGGTATGCTACTGATGCTTGTTTTCTCTGTCGATGCCATCTGTAAGAAACCATCCAGTGCATTGGCAGAGAGCAGTCTGCCCTGAGTTGTACCAGAGCAGCATGCAGCTTATTGTGGGGAGGGACTATCAATGCCAATTGTGATTTAGATATACATGGAGCCCTGCAGGAGGACGTTGTCTCATGACTGAAAGATGTGTCCATTCCCTGCTCTGCTGTAATAAACCTGGTGGCCCACTTCTTAAGCTGATGCCAGAGCTGCAAAGAAGCAGGATTTCTGAGTGTTCCATGTGCTTGGGATGACATCAAAGATTGCTGCCGTACTACAGGAGCGAGAGTAACTGGGTCAAGTAGGTCAGTCAAGTTACTTGCCAAGATTTGAAGACACCCACACAGATACAAGTCTGCCTTCTTTAGCTTTAAAAGCACACTTGGAGAAAGATTTGTACACTAAGCAGTTTACATTGTGTTCTCTAGGCATAAGAGGCATCTGGAATGTCAAGAATTGACAGGCATTTCGGTGTTGGAGGGCAGGCAAATCTTGAATTCTATAGACTTGACATTGGCCATTTAGGCCCATGTGCTGGGAGATTGTGTTACTTGCCCTCAATCCTGAACGTCTGTAAAAGATTTTTTTTCTTATCAAAGGTATTAACTACATTTATCTAAGTAACAATTCTAAGTAACCTCTCTGTAGGCAGAGGCATGGATATTGTGGGGTTCCATTTTGCACCACAGGCAATAAGAATCAGAGAGCTGGTTGAGGCTCCCACTCTGGTACACTCAGCTAAGGTTCTTGCGAGAGCTCTTAGAGCCTAGATGGGACCCACCAGACATTGCTATGCAAAAAGAATTCATTCTTGCACGTGTGGGACACATGTGCACCAAGACTGGAATCTGTGTGGGCAGGCACTCAAAGAACTTCTATTGTGGGGATAAGCTACATTTTAGTGCCTTTTTAAACTTTTAACATTAACACATTTTGCATTTTTTTGTCTATTAAGTATAAGGCTCATTTTTTAGCTGCGAACAACCACCTCAGCAATTGCTAAATATAATTATACTAAAAAGAATCTGACCTCTGGATTCATTTTCTCATTACACATTATAAAACTTATATTTCTGCCACTGACATAGGCAGTTTCACCACTGCCTGAGACCCTGATCCAACTCCCATTGTAGTCAATAGAAGCTCTTCAATTTTCAGTGGGAGTTGAATCAGGCTCTTAAATGGAAGCAGTCCTGAGGTCTACGTGTACTTTCCCTCTGACTTTCGCATGACTAATGAGGTCTGTATCCTTCCAGCATGATTTTAGAGTGAGAGATTGTACAATCCTTTCCACATTCCAAGGGAACGCTTTATGCCAGAGAACCTGACTTTCAAATGTATTTATAAACATGGCACAGTAACATCCAGGTTCTATCAACTCCACTGGGCAAATGAGTATATTGTTTAAGCACCAGAACAGCAGTCAGCCCGATTGATACATGTATATAACCCCTATGGATGTCCTATATTAGCATTTCCCTTTTTTTCCTTTTTAATAGTATCAGGACTTTTTTTGTTTCTGCTTTATTCTTGCAAAAACACACCACCACTATCTACTAAAGTAAAGCTGTATAGTTAACTAGGACAACAGTCCAGCTGTGTACAGTTTTTAGAAAAAAATTAAGGATTTTTGGATTAATACATCAGGATATACCACACAAAGCAGCAAGTAAAGATTAAGATTAAATGTAAAGAACTTGAATCATATTTGGCCGGTTAGATAAGAAATGGAGCTACATATGAACACTACATTAAAATCTTAATTTATAAAGCTACTAGCACTGCAGGTTCCTTCCCCCACTCCCAAATCAGTGGTGTTCTTAAACATAAAAAAACCGATATGAAATGTCCACTTCACTATATTTTAATTAAAGACTCATTCCAAACAGCAAGCACAGTGTTCCCAGAGAGACTAAACATGCATGGTGGGTTAAAAAAACTAAAAACTCAGCTCCTACATATATGCAGAAAAGAAAATACAATTGATTTCAATTGGTTTTTATTAGGTTTTAGAAGTTTACAAATTTGAGAGTTGTTTAAGAAATAAAACTATAGACCAGAGTGAGTTGGAAACTCATTTGGGGAGTTTTTTTAGATCCATAAAATTTGCAATAAGTTTGTCAACAGCAAATTCCAGGCTGTCTAAAACACAGCCCACTATATTTTCTTATTCATCTATTTTGTAATTTATCAAAAAACTTAAGATCATTCAAATACTTAATGCTAAATATTCAATTATGCTACTCTATTTGTCTCTATAATTATGTATACTTGAATTCTGTTCATTTTGTACATGATACTGATTGTTTAAAAGCACTTAAGACTATATTGCATTTTTAATATTCTCAAAGTTATGAATAAATAGATAGATCGCATGACAAAATTAAATCTATTACCTTATGTATTCTGAGAATTTATATTTCTCGTATTCCACCCTAAACAAAATATTTTCTAGAAGAAATAATGTTCTTTTATTTTAATGCTGAGCAACAAATTTCAAGAGCTTCTATTTCCTGACAAACAAAGGTCCAAATCAAGTCCTTATTTTGCTATAATACAGTAAATATCTCAATGTATGATTTTTTAAAAGATTTCATTTCTACAAGACAAAACATGTAAGCAGCCAAACTGTGTATACATGTGGCACCTGAGGTTTATGACTACAGATGCAGAGATTCATCTTATGAAGTCTCATCTTTCCATGTAAGAGTTCATCTATCCACCTTTTTCTTCCCTGCCCCACAGTCAATTTGGGGGGGGGGGGGGAGAGAAGAGAGCGAGAGAGAGGAAGAGATGTCATGTATATAACACTAAGGACACTGGAAGATATAACACTATAAAGGAACAAAAGCATGAGTGATGTAACAAGTTACTATAAGGTTTTTGCTACATAAAAATAAAGTGACAGTTAAAAAATTCCAAGAAACAGAAAGTAACATGGTAAACAAAAATGACAGAACAACTTGCAAAATATGTTACAGCCTTAAAGCTGCTTTCATTTCAATCAGCAATGTGATCCCTGGCATAGCTGAAGAGAAATTCTTCTTTAGTATACTTAATAACGTTGATATGCATCTGGTTAAGAATTATATCGATCCTAGAAAAAAAGGGAAAAAAAAAACATTCATGGGAATGTCTTCCACAGCACGATAAATACAGTAATATTCATTAAAAGTGAAGTTCAATTTTTGAAGCCGCCACATTTGGAAAATTGTCCAAGATTTAAAAAAAAACAAGAGCTTAATATTGGGCTCTTCAATTTCAAACACCCAACAGCTCTTTAATCTGAGCTCAATAGGAATTGCTGGACTTTTTGTACTTTTGAAAAAACAGGTTTCTTACTTAGGTGCTTAATTATGAATTTAGGATTTTAAGATTCAGTGTCTATTTTTAAAAATATTGATCCTTCTATCCATGGACGCTGTGGTACATTTTTCAATCAGGACAGTTACAGAGACAAACAGCTTACTAGTTACATTACAACTAGGTACTCTAAAATGGGATATAAACAGCATAAGAAAAGTGAATTATTAATTAGATCAAAAAAAGCCTTAAATATTTTACCATCTGTTACGAAAGTTCTCCGACATTTCAGCCTCATCGTATAAAAACTTTTCTCCATAGAGGAGTTAATTAAGGATATGTTTACACTGCCCATGATACAGCATTGTCTCTGCAGCACTAACATGGGCAGCATAGTCAATTCTCTATCACTAGGTAAGAGCTCTCCTGTGGATAAAAACCCCACACCTTGTACAAGAGGTGGTAGCTTTATTGCTGGGAATACAACTTCTGGTGATATAGTGCTGTCTATTCAGGTTCTTTCCAGTGCTAAATCTTTTATTACTTAGGATGAAGTTTTTTCTCATCCCTACCTACGTGACTAAAGATTTAGCACTTAAAGTGGCAACATATACACAGCCTAACAAGAGTCATGCTACTAAATCTTCATGACAAGACTTCATTCAATATTGATCCTTTTATTTTTTTAAATATGTCTTTAGTTTACTAACCTGTATAGACGTCATGACTCCATTAGCAAGAACAGAAAGTTTTCCAGCCACTGATTTCACTCCTTGTTTAAACTGAGCCATATCAGGAGCTGAAGGCAAGACATTTGCAATACTGTAGTTTCCTATATAGGAAACAAAACATTTTGTAATTATACTATAGTAAAAAATAATAGGTTTTTAGAGATATTATCTACTACATTGAACCAATCCCATGAATATCTGAATGTTCATATTAACTAAAGTTCTAAAAATTAAAAAATCATCATCTTTAGATTAAAAAGCTCACATTACACAAGACTCATCTTGCTTTACATTTCCAAATTTCCATTTGAGAATTTGCACATATTCCTACCAAACCTGCTATTTTCTAAAACTGTACACTCCACATTCCAAGTTGAGCAATTATATATTGACAGGGTGTAAGATCCTCCTGGAAATTTCAATTGGATACATTATTATTATTTTCCTTTCCTAAACTGTTATGTCGTGTTGCTGTGTGTCATTAAACAGCTACTGTGTTTTCACTTCAAATGCACTGGTTTAGGTGGAATTCAGGGCGGTGCCACGGGAACACCTTGTCCTGGTGGAATCCAGCATTGGACGGATCTGCCATCATGGCTGCTAGCTCACCTACCCACCTGGTTGAAGTTATGCCAATAGCATGTGAAGGGCAAGTCTCACAGAGGTTACTTTCTGATGTGAACGCACTATTAGGAGCCAATCATTGAAAGAGTAGCCTGCTACCACTACAAAGATCTTTGGGAACATTCACAGAGCTGTTGTTATACCAAATGGGAGGAACTAAAACCAGTAGCTTTGTGGTCTTATCCAAAACTGGAGAAACGTTTGGTGGGACAGGTGAATATCTACACAGAAGTGAGCCAGGCTCCCGGGAGAGGTAGGGAATAAGTGACATGATTAACATATGGAACTTGGACTTTCTGAAGAAAGTGTTCACCACCTGAAGTTCTAGAATGGGATGCTGCCACCCACCCTTCTTCAGGATGAGGAAGTAAGATGAGTAGAAGCCTCTTCCCTTATACTGAGGTGGGACAGGCTGTAGGGCCCCCCGAAGAGCACCAGTTTCTGCTTCTTGCTGGATACTGATGGGGTGGGTTCCTGGGGAAAAGTCCAGGAGGGGGAAGGTCAATGAAGTGGGAATGAAAGGAATTCTATGGAGTGTCTGTGGTGGATGATCTCCAGTACATAACTGTCCATGGTGATCTTGCTCCAATTGTGGCTGAAAAGGGAAATATGGCCCCCAAAGACAATATAGGGTGCTGCAAGTAGCACTGGGGAAGGTTCATGTGTTTGAACCTGCATGTCAAAACTGAGGTTTTGACTATTGCTGGGAAAAGGACAAAGAAGTGGTATTGGTGAAAGCAGGAAACCATGACCATTGTGAGCAGTACCGTCTATACTCCCTTTTATTCTCTCTCAAACCTACCTATGACAAGCCCCACCTGCTACTGCAGCCTGCTAATGCAAGCGGGACAGGGATGTCATAAAACAGACTGACAGTTTTCTTTCACCGAAGCCTGGCTAGGCAAATAATATGTAAATGTAGTATGCATCTTGTTAAATACACACATGCCACAAGGCATCTAAGGAAAAATAATTTTAAAACCTAGTAACAACACTATCTAAGTGTTCTAGGTCTTCTTGAATCACTTATGATTGCTTTCTCCCCCAAATAATGGTTTTATGTTTATGACTTTTAATATATGTGAAGATCAAAATCTATTTAGTATGATTTATGTGCCATATAAACCTATCCAAAAGATCTGAAAATACTGGATCACTAGACTTCGTAATCCTATTTTGCAAAGATAATCATTTCCCATCAACTGACTAAAAAACTTAACATTTAGAAGTCATAGCCTAGATACATGGCATAAATTGAGCTTCAAATAATATTAAGTGACTTGCCTTGAAGGTTAGAAAAGCTTAATTGAGCTTCCTTGTATTTTTATAATTAAACTTGCCCAATAGTGTTCTGAGTGAATTGTTGCAATAAATGCTGCAGTTTATACATTTCATCTAGTGGGAAACGACAGAGCTAGCTTGCTGACAGTGCACACCTGGAAACTATTATTCTTAATATGTTTATACAGTGACATTTTAGTTTCTCTCATTGCCTTCCTTTGGTACCTGAAGGTTGCTTCTTTTGCTCTTCAAACAAGTCGGCTGAACTTATGGAGGAACTTGCAGAAAGTCTCTCTAGACGAGCCCTAGCTTCATACTAGAAAACAATTAAAAATACAACATCACTTAACAGTATATTCATGTCTTGCTTGTTTGCTCAGCTGCCTGATGGTGTGCTACAGAGACTTTCACCTGTAGAACACACAAAAATCTAGGCAAGACTAGCAACAGCTGAAAGTCACTACCATCTAGTTGTTCTTTAATGCTCTACATAAGTGAGACTGTGGTCTCAAGTCTCAGCTAAGTTCCTAGTGGACAAGGATTTAGAGCAAAACCCACCACCACGCCCTGTATTTATTAGAAAATTTGCTGTCTGTGTCAGTAGAGAAGGCAATGATTGACTAAAGAGGGAGAATGAACTCTCTCTCTCCCTTCAGCCATCCAGACAGATGTGAAACACATAGAATTGTAGAGTGAGGAAGCATGCACTGCGAATGCCCTCATACTATCTGTTCTGACCACACAATACTTTGTTTTAATGGTTTCTCAGTTAACTGTCAGTAGAGCCATGTGCAGATATAAATTTATACCCATGGGCACCAGTCTCACCAGCACAACCCTGACAGGAGATGCAGACAGCTGTATGGAAGGGATGAGGTGAGATAAAGGGTGCTACAGCCACACTGGAACAGCTGCCTATACAGGTGCTTGCTCCTGAGAGCAGCAACCCCACATTCTACTCCTTTCTAAATTGCAGTTTCTGGGAAAGCCCTGTAATTCCTTGGATACTAGTTTATATTGGCAGATACCTGCATCCATGGGTATAAATTTGTTCCTGCACAAAAGTCTAATTGTAAATCTTCCTGATTATAAGCTATGTAGGTACCATTTCCTATATTCTATACAATACTAAACACACTTTTGAAATTTCATAAATAATATATTATGGGCAATGATTCCTTCCCAGAAAAATGGAATGCAGCATTACAGTTTCTCTCACATTCTAACCACCAGTAATATGATGGATTCCCAAATTGCTTTAGCAAAACGAATGATTGGATCAGTCTGTGTGGTTAGTCCAGCCTTATGGTTGCACTATTTTGTTTTGTTTACATATTATAAGCACGAAGACAAGACCTCTGTTCATTTAATATTTTTCTTAATCAGCATAGCTGAGACCTTTACAGGACATAAGAAAGAAAATGTTTACTCATCATCAGGCAGACCATTTTTACACAAATTCACTTGACTCCTACTTTCTTACTTCTATTTTAGCACAGTTGCTAGGAAGTGATAGTATTATTATTTATAGATGTAATTCTTTTAAAGGGAAATACCACACCAGTTACAGCTAAGTCAAAAGCCTAAACACTGAATATTCAGTGATATGTCTCAGAAAACTCTCAAAAGGAAACCTACTCTCTGACCATTAGCCAATCAGAAATACTGACACTGTCCATTAGTAGTAACTGAGATACAATTTTCTAAAATATTCAGAATATTTGAGCGTCCAAAAATATTTATTTTGCACAGAAACTTTTGTACTTACATCAGCATAATCTTGCTTTCCAAAATACATATCTGATGAAATAGCTTTGACATTGCCAAATTTTTTTTGTGCCTCATCTGTGCCTAAAGGTGGTTCATATTCAGGTTTACGACGAGATGTAGGCCTAAAGTTTAAAAAATTGCATTAATGTTTTTAAATTCTATCCAGTATAACAAAAGCTTTCAATTCAATCATGTTAACAAAAAAGGTACTCCCTTTTTCTAAATGCTAGTCAATACGACACAAGGACAACTACAAATCATAGAATTATAGGAGTAGAGGAACCTTGAGAGGTCATCTAGTCCAGTTCTCTGCACTCATGGCAGGATAATTATTATCTAGGCCAGTGATTTGCAAACTGTAGTTTGGGACCGCAATTTAATGAGGGACACCAGTGCTGACTTAGACTTGCTGGGGCCCAGGGCTGAGGCCAGAACCACACCACATAGGGCTGAAGCAGAAAACCAAGGGCTTCTGTGCTGGGTGGCAGGGCTCAAGTTACATGCCCTTTGCCTGGGGCTGAAACCCTTGGGCTTTGGCCCCCTGCCTAGGATAGAAGGGCTTGGGAATGCTTAGGCTTCAGTCCCCTGTCTTGGGGTGGTGGAACAATGAAGTTTGAGAAACCCTGATCTAGGCCATCCTTGACAGGTGTTTGTCTAACCTGCTCTTAAAAAAGTCCAATGAAAGATTCCACAACCGCTTTAGACAATTTATTCCATGGTTAACTATCCTGACCGTTAGGAAACTTTTCCTAATGTCCAACCTAAACCTCCCTTGCTACAATTTAATCCCATTGCTTCTTGTCCTATGCTCAATCATTAAGAATCATTTTTCTCCCTTCTTCTTGTAACTTGCTTTTATTTATATGAAAACTATTATGTCCTCTCTCAGTCTTCTCTTTTCCACACAAAACAAACCTAATTTTTTTCTATCTTCCCTCAGAGGTCATGTTTTCTATTTCCCATTTTGTGTGTGTGTAATTGATTGTTCCTTCCAAAGAGGAGTACTTTGCATTTATCCATACTGAATTTTATCTTATTTACTTCAGATCATTTCTCTAGTTTGTTCAGACCATTTTCAATTATAATCCTAATATCCAAAGCATTTGCAATCCCTCCCAGCTTGGTATCATCCGCAAACTTTATAAGTGTACTCTCTGTGCCATTATCTAAATGATGAAGATATTGAATAGAAGTGGGCCTAGAACTTATCCCTGTGGGACTCCTCTCATTATGCCAGGGTGTAGAACATAATGCCTGGGGGGCTGGATGTAGCCCTGGCTTGCCTGGATCCAGTCCCTGAGTCTCTGCACTGGGGAGCCTGAGCTGGCACTCTAGCTCCCCCACCTCCCCGTGGGGCTGGAGCACACAATCTACTAGCCTCGGCACCCCCCAAGGTTATGGGGCCACGTCAATGAGGGTTTGTTTTTTGCTTCTCACTTGTGTGTGACTCCTGCCTGATTTTTCTGCAGGTCAGCAGCCCCTGATCCAAAAAAGGTTTCCCACCCCTGCACTATGCCATTCCAGCATGACTATACTGGGTAAGCCACAGTGGTCTCTTGCCATACTTCCTATCCTAGGCTATGGGATAGTTCACTTGTGTGCCCTTAATAATGACTATCAACTGCCAAATTGTTTTTCCTCTTAAGACTTGGTTCCCATGGAATCTTACCTAGCAACTCCTTGAGTTTGCTAAAGTCTGCCTCTTTGAAAACTACTGTCCTTATTTTTCTCTTTTCCTTACCATGCCTTAAAATCATAAACTCTACCACTTCATGATCACTTTCACCGAAGCAGCTTTCCATTTTCAAATGTTCAACCAGTTCCTCCCTATTTGTCAAAATCAAATCTTAAATAGCCTCTCCTAAATCTAAAATCCTCTCAAATCTAAAATAGCAGCTTTCTCCATCTTCTGAAATTAAAAAAAAAAAAATGGTCTCAAATGCATTTCGAGAACTGCTTGGATAATCTGTGCCCTGCTGTGTTATCTTCCCAACATAGGTCTGAATAGCTGTCGCTTATCACCACCAGGTCCTGTGCTTTGAATGATTTTGCCAGTTGTTTAAAAAAGCCTAATACACCGCTTCTTCCTGGTTAGTAATAGAGAGGTAGCCGTGTTAGTTTTTCCTTTTGTTTTCGCAAGATCAGACTATGTAGCACTTTAAAGACTAATGAATCACCCCTGATTAGCCATTCATTGACTGAAATAGCTATGCCCTCCCTCCCTCACCCTCACCTCACTTTCTGTACTAAATCTGATTTGTCAGTTTAATAATGTGTTTACTTTTTTCATTGTATTCCTTTAGTATATATGGTCATGCCAATTCTCTTCCAGAATATGATCTGAGGAAGTGGGTCTGCCCCACGAAAGCTCACCTATTAAGCCATCTTGTTAGTCTTTAAAGTGCTACATAGTTTTTCCTTTTGTTCTTCCTGGTTTCCACAGTCTTCACCCATGAGGGTTTTTTTTTAACCTCTTATTCTTACGCAGAGTTTTCAACAAGTTTGTCTCCTATCTGAATGCGTACATTTTTAATATACAAGACACTTCCTCCTCCCTTTTTCCCCGTTTCTGTCCTTCCTGAGCAAGCTGTGTGCTTCTACACCAGCATTCCATATTATCCCACCAAGTATCTGGGATGACAACTATATCACAGTTGTGTTTATTTATTAGCATTTCACGTTCTTCCTGCTTAGTCCCCATTCTGCTTATTCTCACACTAGTATACAGACATCAAAGATAATTATTTTGAACCCCTCCCAGTTTTGTGTTGTCTCTCCCTTATCCCTGTTATAATAGACCATAAATATAAAGAACTTTCCTTTAAAAAACTGATAGTGGCAGAACCATATTTTATTAACAATTTTATAAGTAAATAGGTATTTACAACTTGACTTATAGATTTAAATCAATGTGTTTTGTTGGTTTGAATTAGAAGAACTAATTCAAAAGAAATGTATTCAAATAAAACCAATGTCATAAGGGATTAGATTAATTCTACACCTATGTTATTTACATAGGTAAATCACACCTATGTTAAGCTCTGCCCAAAATGAATATGTAAAAAAATAGTTTCATCATTACTGTCCACATTTCGTTGTCAACTAAAATATATTCAAATTTTCTACAAAAATATAACATTAAAAGAATGCCAAGGAATCACAAACACGTACTCTAAAGTCAGGAAATTACAATGTTAAGAATACATTTTGATATTCTTTAGTTGCACAATCAAATTCTGTTATTTTCTGAGAACAGCTATTCATTTAGTGTGGATGTTGGGTGGTGTCAATAAATTAAGATGTGCAAAACTGATTGTTAAATAAACTGTACAGTAAAAGCAAAAAAGGATGCAGACTACAGTTGTAATTTACTATGGAAAACAAATATTTTAGACCAATTAAAAAAAATCAAATCTGTGCTTGTAAATTTAGTTCCAATTGTACACGTGCATCATTATTTCATTCATTCAGTGTCCAACTTAAATAAATAAATATATATATAAGTTTTCATAGGCAAAACCCACTTCCTCAAATGAGCACAGTGGAAAGAAAAGGGGGGACCTTACAGCAGAAAAAGAAGAGAGGGGGGGAGTATATGTCAACAGTAGTGCCGGTGCTAATGAGGCTAACAGAGTGCTCGAAGTGTCCCACACTTAGCTTTTGATGTCAGTTGGGTGTTGAATGTAAGGCAAGCAGGTTTTATAATAAGTACCACCAACAAAAAGTTACAGTGAAACAGAAGAAACTCAGGCTACATAGGTAAGGAAATCTCATTACTAGTGATCAGTTTTGACCAAATCCTTCTAGTATTAGTTTTATAGGCAGGACCATTTAAGTAATCAGGATTACTCTCAGAAACTAGGGGTATGTCTACATAGCAGCATTATTCTGGAATAATGTCGAGCTGGAGGACTTCTTACTTTGACTCCTATAACCCTCATTTCACAAGTAGTAAGGAAAGTCAAAGGAAGAGGGCTCTTCCTTCAACTTCCTGCTGCATAGACAATGCCAAAAGCCAAATTGAGCTATTTTGACTTCAGCTACACAATTAACATAGCTGAAGCTGCATATCTTAATTTGACTTTTGCCCTGCTATGTAAACGTGCCCTAGATGAGCAGGTATAGCTTTTTGTACTTAAGTTAGTGCAAGTTATCTTCATTTACCTGTCAGCATAGTCGGCAATTTTTGACGTTAGAATTGTGTCAGCATCTCTGTTACTACTGTCCTTCTTCCAAAAGGAATTTGAAGTGTCATCCCATTTAGAAAAAGTGCTGCTCCTCAACTCTGCAGAATCAAAGTACCTGAATGAAAAAAGAAGAAAAGCATTAAATAAGTTGGCCTATTTCCTTTTTTTAAACTCAAAGCACTCCAGTCTTCTGCTATTACTAATGCAACAGTTCTCAAACTGTGTGTTGCGACCTCAAAAGGATCACCACTCCCTTTGAATGGGGTCACCAGGGCTGACAGATGTGCTGGGACCCAGGCTGAATCTTGAGCCCCACTGCCCAGGGCCAAAGCCAAAGCCTGAAGGCTTCAGCCCTGAGCAGCAGGGCTCAGGTTGCAGGTGAGCTTCAGCCTCTACCCCTCCCCCACCACCCTGCCACCCAGGGCAATGAGCATTGGATAGGCTCAGGCTTCAGTCCCTTTCTCCTGGAGATGTGAAGTAATTTTGCTGTCAGAAGGATATCGCGATGCAATTGAAGTTTGAAAACCCCTGTAATAAATGCCTGCAAAAGCTAACAGATTAAACTAGGCGAAACTCTTACAAATGGTTTCCAATAACCCAGGGGTGGGGAAGCTATAGCCTCCAGGTCAGATTCAATACCTTGCTCATTTTCATTTAGCTTGCAAGCCACAGACATTCAACTTACCTGTCCGTGTGTGAGTGCCTCAGTACCGCTCCCCCCCGGCTGGAGTCACAATCTCCAGCTTACCCTGCTGCAGGCAGGAAGCCCCGAGTCTTGGTGCCCTCTAGTTAATATTCCCTCAATTTTTTTGCATCCATGTGCAAAATCAATTTTGATATGTGCACCAATGTTGAGGTAATGTGTACGTATGTGCCACCAATACAAATAAATAAAAACCCTTGGATATATATTTTTTAAAAGTTCATAGATATGGAGTAATATAATAGAAGGGATAATTAACAAGGTGTGCTGCTTAGTATGTTAATTTAATATGAAATCAAAAAGAAAATGTAACACTACTCTTGGAATACACGTATTTATCATCTTTTCTAACAATTCAAGCTAGAAAACAGCAAAATGTAGCACACTGAGAACAGCTATACAGGCAGTCCCCGGGTTACATGGATCCGACTTACATCGGATCCCTACTTACAAACGGGGTGAGGCAACCCCGCACTAGCTGCTTCCCCCCAGCAGACCAGGGAGACGCGAAGCTAGCGCCCCCTGCAGCAGACCAGGGAAACGCGAAGCGGCTTTTCTCAGCAGACACCTCAGCTTGAGAATAAAGGACTGAGGGAAGTGAGGTGTGGGAGAATAAAACTGAGCTCTGGAGAAGTGTTTGGCTAGAGTTTCCCCTACCATATGTACCAGTTCCGACTTGCATACAAATTCAACTTAAGAAAAAACCTACAGTCTCTATCTTGTACATAACCAGGGGACTGCCTGTATCAATAAAACAAAGATATGGTCATTAAGTCAAAGCATAAAAAAAATATGCGCCAGAAGCCCAATTTAATAACCTATCCTACCATACACCACTAAATTTTCAAGGAGAGCTGCTTGAAGCATCTTCCCAACTTTCACAATCATGCATGATTGGGTCAATTTACCTTCAGAGGCTTTATAGTGCCTCTCTTTACAAGAAGGCACTGAGCTTTACAGTTAGTTTTTGCTTCTGTTCAGAAAAGGTCCCCTCAGTCTTTACTCAGTGCTGCCTTCCCTTTACCCTTTGGGAGTCCACTTGTCTTCTTGACAGGGCGCTAGACCTGCTAGTAGAACTCTAAAGCGTGTTTCCTCTGGTCTGATGAGACGTTTACGTATTTTGTTTCTAATGATGGCACTTTAGTCTCAGACCTTCTGATTTACATGTTTATTTTTTGGCAAATGGTTGACACTATTATAGTAGGTCCCACTCTTTTCCTTCATGTGATGGGTCAGGTCACTCTTGCCCCTTGCCCCGTTCTTGGAAGTTGATGGCTCCACTAGTGCCCTGGTGGGGAAGGAAAGGGAAGGGGTAAAGGGACCCTTGGCCCACCCTCTGCACTGGGTCCCAGTTCAATCCTATAGACAGTGGCTAAGCACTTGGAACTGACTTGTATTGGTGGCTAGTTCCCGCTCGGCCTCCGAAGCTTCATGGGCTTCCTGCCCCCTCTTTCGGACTCCCTAGGCACTGAGGACCATCTGCTCTGCTTGAGCAGGGTTTCCCTTCCCCAGGTGCTCTGATGCTCTAGTCAACAACAATACTTAAACAAATTACAATCAACTGGTTTCCCCCCCTCTCCCTCTGACTAAAGCAGGGGATTTTATTAGGTCTCTGGCAGGGCCATAATTGGCTTCAGGTGCTCTAATTAACCTGAAGTAACCTCTTCTCAGTCCACAGTGAATAAAGCTCTAATCATCCAGGGACTTATATACCTCTCATCTACCACTTTCCTGATGCCTTCTGTACCACAGTGTAGAGAATTAGCAGACCAAAACATCTGCTCTGTACATAAGACTTCTCCAAACAAGAGACACCCCTACTATGTTCAGCTAGAGTCGGATCCACACTCACCCAACTTGAAAAAAAGTTAAAATGTTAAGAGATGAGAATGCCTAGTAGGCATTTTGGAAATTGTTAAAAACTAAACCAGGAAGCAGATTCTCTGCTGGTGTGAATTATTACTGCTAAACACAGATCAGAACTCTAAAGAGCCAAGTCTTGCTGGTGGCCATTCTCTCAAACCCATCTCTCTGTGTCCCTGCTTTCTATGGCCCTTCAGCTATGCTCTCTTTGAATTCAATTTCAATTGAATTCTGCTAAAACAAAACCCAACAGCTAGATCATGATTATCTTCTAATTATTGAACAAAAATATAAAACACCTCTTCCATAATTCATAATTTGACTGCTAGGGTACTAATGAATAATTTGAGAGCAATAAGAGCTCTTTTCATGGGACAAATAGAAGCATTCAAATGGTTCATGTTTTATTTTACAGCATTGTTGCCAGTGTATTTGGTACCATGCCTGCATTTCTGCCACTAGTGATTACGTTACAAAGTCATGACGTTAAAGTCTTTGTGTTTTAATTTGACATTCTGCAGGTAAGTAGGTACAATTTTTCAAAGCCTATTTTTTCCTGTTTCTTTGGCAGCAACCCAATACTTAAGATTTATAAAAGCACCATCTGTTCCTATCTCCATACATGAACAACTGTTTCATAGCAATTAAAGCCTTTAGGAGTTACTCTTTTTTCCTCCAGTGATAGCAATATCTACCATGCATTATATGTGCTTTGAATGAAAAATAAGTAATAATTTACACGGTAAACATTTTTTCATTCAACTTTAAAAAAAAAAAAAAAAACAAAAAAACACACACCTTACTTTTGGAATATAAAATATTTAAAAATGTGTACAAATCAGAAAGCTTACCAATATAGGAAAGCAATATATCTGAAACATTTGTAAGTTTTCCATGTTTGACAACACAGACGTACAATTAGATTTATTACAATCAATCATAGCATTCTAGTGTCACAGTTTAATATGAAGCTTATCATTAGGATTGAGAGTTATTTTACACATGCTAATAAGGGAAGAAAAGTAATAAGCCAACATGATGCAGAACCCGCTGGTTCCAAATTGCAACAAATCAGATTTTCCTACTCCCTACATATGTTAATTGGTTTTGCAAACACACACAAAGTAAGAAATAACACAACATATAAAATAGATCCATCAGCAGGCCCAAGTTAAAATAAATGAAAAACACGTAGTCCCAGTCAGCAGAAACAAATCCCAACATGTCCCACCTTCCCCACCCAAAACTATTCACTTATTAAAATAGTAAAAAGGTTCAAAAATAAAAGTACTATTGATTTGCTTTTATTACTGAGATATTAAAATCAACTATTTTGCAAATTTTCCATTTAAATTAGTTTACTCTAAACAATAACTGATGAACCGGTGTATGCAATTCTGCCCTCTGTCTTTATTTTTAATACAAGCAAAAACTTTTAACACATTACCTTGAACTAGGGGAAGAAAAATATGAATCATCTTCATCATTGTACTTTTTTCTTGGTTTTGCGGTTGTAGGTGTTTCTTGTTCTATTGTTTGCATGTCTGAAATTACTGAATGGGAAATGCCACTATACAAACAAACAAAACAAAACAAAACGTTAAATTGAAAAGAGACCGAGTACAACTCTGAGCTCAAGAAAATTGCAACCTTATTTTTTGAAGGTCTCAGGCACCATCAAAAACCTAGGAATAATTAAGGTTTGGGGGCAGACAGGGAAGCTATGAAGTCTGCACTGTACATTTTCTAACACAGTCAAGCAAAACTGAGAACATGCCTGACATCTCCTCTGATTTTAAAGTTTGCTAACTTGCTTTGTTAATGGAGCTCTAAAGCAGGAACTGTGTTAGAAGTTTACAGGACTTGGAGCTCAGTATAAACATACCACCTAGTCCCCTGATCATCAGCTAACTAGAGCAGAAATTTGGTGTAGAGGCACAATACAACAACCTTTGGGAACATGAAGTCAGACTTCAGTTAGCTGGCTCTTTTTGATTAATGTGAGATGCACTGTATATAATATAGGATTTACCACAGCAGCAGTGCTCACAGGCCACAAAGTCCAGTATTTTGACTCCAAGAATGGGAATACCAGTTTTGGCAATGGATTTAAAAATAGCTTCTGATCAGTTATGCATCTTTTATTTCCTTTCTGATCCTTGTGATATTAAATCAGATTACCCTCACCAAAAACAGGGTGAAAAGTACTAGGGAAGTAAAGGGTTAACCAGTTAGCAGAGGGCCAGACTGGAAAAGAAATCTCCCTCTCCCCCACCTGCCATATCACACTCACTCTCATTCAGACACACACAGACACACACTCTACAGGCTATCCTGAGAAAGGGCATCTGGACTCAAATGGTAACAAATCAGATTTTCCCTTCTCCTACATACATTAACTGGCTTTGCAAATAAACACACACAAATTAAGAAATAACCAATTACATTAAAATTATGCTGTTTAATTGGTTAACATTTTTAAGGGGTATTTACATCCCTAAAAATACAGAGCTACATAAAAGCATTTTAACACAGTTTACAGAATTTCACATACCTTCTGTTGCTTCCAAATCCCATGCCAAGTCTTTCTACCTCAGTTTTCTTTTTACTAGATACATTTAACTTTTCTTCTTTCATTTGAATTTCAAGATCCTTGTAGGCCAATCGTAAAGATGATACACTGAAACAAAAATACACAGAGAGTGTATAATACATGTAAATTAATTTTAACTTTTAGTCCCCCATCCAGTAATGTTAGTAGGAAAGCAACAGAAAACTCCATTTGATAATAAAAATAATAGGACTAAATTAACATTCCTGTAGGAACTTTAACTTTTGCATCTCCTGACTTATTTTAAGTGCTCAGTATTAATACAATCAATTTTTACAATTATTACAAATAAACTACTTATTTAAATAAATAAGGTAGCTAGAGGAGAAACCCAAGGGACAGGAGGGTCAACGTTAGCGACAAGTGCCTCAATCTGTGTTTAAGCATACATGTAAAGATGAAAAAGTATGCATTTGTGGTCTGTTTTGAACTGCACACCTTTCGACTGTTGTACTGTGAAAGTTCAATATGTAATTTTCTTCTGTTGAGTCAACCCATATGTTCCCCCCCAAAAACATCTATGTACTTTACTTCTCATTAAGGAGTATTTGCTTGAAAAGTTTCAAGCATCCAAATATACCAGTTTGAACACAATCTAAAAAGTGCAACCACAAAGTATTCTTTACCCACTTAAATAAAGACAGGTGAATTTTTTTCTGTGTATAAAAAAAATTGTTTCTCCCTATCATAGTGGTTGTGAAGGATGGGTGGCCCCTGCTCAATCACAAAGGGGGAGAGCTCACATCTATGCTAAGTCTAGACTCCAAGGGTAAGTCAGAAAAAGAAATGCAATTTGCAATACACAAACTGCATAATTTTTTCCACTTTACTGTCGAAAGAGGCTTTTCCAAAATTTGGTGCACCTACCTACATGTCACCAAATTTTGGAAAGAGTCCTCTTTCGACACATCCCTTCTTTCTTATAAAATGAGGTTGACAGGGATGGCAGAAGAGTGCATCCGCTTTATCGAAAATTTTTCCAAAAAAGCAGACATGTTCTTTAGATGCAGCATTGCTTTTCTGGGATACCGCTGGTATCCCGGAAAAGCACCACAGTCTAGACAAAGCCCTAGGCTGGAGCTTTGTTGCTCCTTGCACCTCAAATTAATTGTGTGTGGGAGTATGCCAAGAGTAGGGGCTTCTGTGCCTTCCATTGGCCAGCTGGAAACAATTAAAGGGGTTAATTAGCTCATGAGAACCAGGAGGAATCTTGCTGTGATTGTTACCCCATCCACTCTCCATCAGATGTCTCTCTCAAATTATGTTTCCAGGATGCTGTGTGTCCAAATGATCATCTGTTTTTAGGATCAAGAAAAAAAAATTCCTCCATGAGGGTAAACTGACAATCTAGAAAACGTTTTGTCCTCATCACAGCACTGAGGCACAGTTTAGTTTAAAAGAAATAAGAATAGAAATTTTAATATTAGGAGGTAACAAACTAGTGTTTATTTTATCAATTTTGTAGGCTATAAAGAAATAAATAAATGAATATTGGGATATGTCTGATGGACTTTTTGTTGCAAAGAGATGGGGAAACAGAGTCTCCTCAAACAGAGATCCCTTTTGGTTTCCTCTATCCCTACATGGGAGAGATTGGGGGGTTGGTGGCAGGAGAATTCAAATATGAGCTAAGTCCTAGTATTTAGGCAGGAAAGGGCCTACCATGTTATTGGTTACATGGTGAGAGCCCTGTAACTTCACACTAGATCCAAGCAAATGCCTGATATGTGAGAGAATGTAGATGGGTAGTGCCCTTCACCACTGTTACATTAATAAAGTTATCTATCCTTGTGTTTTTTTCCATTCACCACTAAAGACATCATAAATAAAATGGAAAAAAACAGATAATTTCCACTCTGCTATCAATATATCCCACATCTTGGCTACTCTCCTCTCTCGGTAGGTCAATCAGGAGGATTCGTTTGGGAGCCATGTGGCAATGCCCTCCTGCTGCTTCTTGCTCCCAAGTGAATTATTCACGAGCCCTAAGAGCTATATAATATCATTAACAACTGTAGTGGGCCGGAGTGGCCGCCCACTGACCCGGAGGAGGAGGAACCCCTCCGGCCGCCATGTTGGGCTAAGGCTGACCCCCGCCCAGCCACCTGACCAGAAGCCACGGGGCAGGCCCAGAACTATAAACGCCCAGGCAGTAGCCTCAGTCAAGGTAAGCCTGCCAAGAGACTAGAGGCATCCCCTGGGCTCCCAGCCTGGGAAGCGGGGACTGAGGCCTGGCCAGGACTCTATAGCAGGCACTATAACAGCCAAGGTGGTAACCTTCCAGCAGAGGATGAGAAAGGGAACAGGAAGCCACAATCTCAAAGCAGTGTTCTATGAGCCATGACCGCACAAGATTCAGATTCCAAGACAAGACAGGGTCTTGGATGTGGGAGTAAAGTTGCTACAGATCCTTGAGATATCTGACCATTATGCCCTGATCAAAATCCAACCTACTAAGATGCAAAAGGTAGCCCAGGTTTTACTATGGTAAGGCTTGCTCAAGCCGAATTCGTCAGTCAAAGGTCCAGCACAAACTCCTTTCATTTGGCCATATAGGTTGCTCTGGTAGAAGGCTTTCTGCTGCCCAACAGGACTTGTTGGGCACAAGCTGAGTATTCCTGTTCCTCCACCTTCAGCCATGCAGCAGCCAAACCGGCAGGTGCAATGCTGCTAGGCTCAGGTGCAAAAGACTGCCTTGGTTCTGGGACAGCACATTCGTCTGCAGCAGCAGCTATAATGGGGCAATCACAAAGAGGTCCAGCAGCATGCCAAGCCAGTGCTGGCCTGACCAAGCTGACACTATGGAGGATAACATTTGCCCTATCTTGTTGATTTTCATGAGGATTCTGTGGATTAATGACACTAGGGGTATATTTAAACTACACCCCACTGCGGACAGAGGGATGTAGATTAGGCCCATCCTATTGCAAATAAAACGGGGATTAAAATATCCCAACCGTCATTTCAATAGAAATGGCCACCGCTTTTTGCCGATGCAGCTGTCTAGACGGGGATTGGTCAACGAGGAAAGCCTTTTCCAACCGATCCCTTATGCCTCATGCAACAAAGTTTACAGAATTGGTTGGAAAAAGCTTTCCTTTTCGACCGATCCCCGTTTAGACTGCCGCTTTTTGCCGGCAAAGTGCTGCGGCGGCAAAAAGCGGCGGCCATTTCTATTGAAATGAAGCGCGGGATATTTAAATGGTGAACTGAACCTGGAAGTCCCATAGCCAGAGAGCTTCTTGGCAAAGAGCAGACAAATACCCGCTGCCTTGCTTGTTGACACAGAACATTGCAGTGATTCTGTCACCCTGACCATCAGATGAAGCAAGAAAGCCTGGTAGGCCAAATGAATCATTCTGAGCGGTCAGACTTTTATGCAGAGGCGGCAATTGTGACTCATCCAATGTCGTTGCATACGGAGACCACCCAGGCAGGCTCCCCAACTCAGGTCTAAGGCATCGGCGACCAAGATCACTGATAGGGATTAAAAGGGGAACCCCCAACACAGATCTGGGATTCAACCAACATGTGAGGGACGACAGGATGCAGACTGATGCCAGCTACACCTGCGGAGGCCTGAGATGGAGCTGAGCACACTGAACAATGTAAGTACAGGCTGCCACATAGCCCAACAACCTCAAACATGTGTGAGCAATGATGAGAGAGAGTGATCACATGGAAGAAATCAGGTCGCTCATAGCTTGGAATTGAGCTTCAGGGAGGAAGGCTCTAACCCAAATGGAGTGGAGGACTACCTGATTAATTCTATGCTCTGCACTAGAATTAAAGTAGATTTTTCCTCATTTATTAAAAGACTTAGGACATGACAGGTAGAATAAATCATATCAAGATGTTGCATCTCATGTTGGGAACAACCTTTGATGAGCCAGTCATCGAGGTATAGAGAAATCCGGACACCCCAATGCCTCAGATAAGTGACCCCTGGTGCCATATGTTTGGTCAACTCTCAGGGCTGATGGGATACCAAAGGTCAGAGATGTGAATTGGAAATGTCACTGGCCCAGTGCAAAACAGAGGAACCATCTGTGTCCTTGGAAGATGGAGATATGCATCCTTTAAGTCAAGGATAACACAATCTCCCAGATCTCGGAAGGGGATTACAAAGACTAGAGAGCCCCTGCAAAACTTCAACTTTTTGAGAAGCTTGTTGAGGTGCCACAGGTCTAGAATGAGTTAAGACCTCTTTTGTTTTGGGGATTAGGAAATAATCAAGAGTAGCACCCTTTCCCCCTCATTTCCTGAGGGACCTCCTCTACAGCCCCTCAGACAGAAGAGATTCTCTACCTTTTCGGAAGAAATTGCTCATGAGAAGGGTCCCCAAAGAAGGATGGGGAAAGGAAATAGAAAGGAGGAACAGTCAAGAACTGCCAGGGTGTAGCCTGAAGAGCCACCCTGGGAGCTACCAGTCCGCCAACACAAGAGATAAGGGTCGACCTGAAGAGATAAGGGACAACGTTAAGGTTGGGAGGGTGCCACTGTATAAGGGGCATCCTGAAGATAGGGTGGTGGGGTGGGTTCCCACGTGGTTCTATGAGTACCCAACGGACCAAGATTACTTGTACCATGCTGACCAAAGGCATGCAGGCAGCTACAGGAAAAATAGGATCATAGATGCCGGAATGTGACAGGGGCACCATTCTCAAGTGCACCCTCAAGATGCCTGTTTTTCCCCCTCTTAGTCCCCTGGTGCCTCAAAGGGCCAGGTTGAGCAGGTGAATAGGAAGACAAAAAGTAGTCTCACTTAAACCCCTTGTCTCTGTCCTTTTTCCTATAGCTGTCTTGTTGGGAAGGCCCCCAGAACCTAGAAACTGATAGTTCAGGAGGAGGCCAGAATGGCTTTCTAGCCTGCTCTGGAGTGTGAAGGCCCTAAAAGCACATGGAGGCATGGGCGTCTTTAAGGTCACACAGCCTTGCACCTGTGAACTCAGAGAAAGGCCCCACTCCTTCAAATGGGAGGTCCTGAATAACGGATTGCATCTCTTGGGATAAACCCAGGATGTGCAGTTAAGAGTTATATCTCATCACTACCATGGAAAGCATGACAC